TTTTAAATAATCTTATCCTTACAGAATGCTTCCCAGTACAGTATAAAAAACTTTCTCCTCTGAACTATTTGAGAGTAAGTTGTCACTCTGAAGCCTCATCACTCCAGATATTGCTTCAGATATTCTAGTGTGGATTTCCAACAAAGACATTCTCCTGCATAAGCACATCCTAACCATCAAAATCAAGAAGTTAACATTGATCATTACCACAGTTCAGTCCTCAGACCTTCCTCAATTCCCCCAGTTATTCCAATAATATCCTTTATAGCAAATAGATATAGTTTAGAAATACATAATTACATTTAGTTGTCATGGTCTTTAATTTCCTTATTCTGGAATAGTCCCTTAGTCTTTTTTTGACTTTTGTGCCCTTGACATTTTTAAAGATTACACGTAAGTTATTTTGTAAGATATCCCTCAGTTGTGTTTGTCTGTTATTTCCTTGTAATTAAACTTGGGTTATGCAATTTTGGCAGAAATGACAAAGTGATGCTCTGTTCTTTCCATTGCATCCCATCAGATGACCCATGATTTCAATTTCTACCATTACTGGTGATATTCACTTGGATCACCTGATTAAGATGGTGTCTGCAAGACTTTACTGTAAAGTTAGTTCATTTTCCTTTGTAATAATACTTTGTGGCAAGCTACTTTGAAACTATGTAAATATATGATTCCTTATCAGACTTCAAATTTATGCATTCACTTACTTAAATCAGTATGGCCTCATGGTTTCTTGTTTTATTCAATGAGTTCTAATCCATTTCTATCATTATTTATATATTTATTTATTTATTTTAAAGATTTTATTTATTTATTTGTCAGAGAGAGAGAACGAGCACATGTGTGCACAAGCAGGCTCCTTGTAAGGAGCCTGATGTGGGACTTGATGCGGGGCTTGATCTTAGGACCCCAAGATCATGACCTGAGCTGAAGGCAGACGCTTAACTGACTGAGTCACCCAGGCGTCCCAATCATTATTTATTTTGATGCTCAAATTGTCCCAAATTTGGCCAATGTGAGGCCGTCAGTGTCCTTCTGACTATTCTCTGCATTATTTGAGCATTTCCTTGATTTTTGGCATATTACAGGCTTTCCCTGCCTCAGCCCTGGAATCAGTCATTTCTCCAAAGAGTTCTGATTTCTTTTAAGGGGAGACTGATATTAGAAGCCAGTGTGTTCCTTGCTATTGGGGTGTCACTATTTCTAAGCCCTCTAAATGGTCAGAATAAGGGCATATGTAATATATATATATATAATTATATAATATATACACGTATATATCCACTTGTACATCAATGTCTGTCTACTTATCTGTCATAAACCATGAATTTACCCTAATATCTCTAATACCTATCAAAGACCACAGAGTTCATTTTTGTTTTCTCCCTTTCCTGTTTGTAACTCCCTTCCCTGACTGTGAGAAACCAGGCTCCCATTATCCTCAGTATATTTACCTACTTGATCAGTTGGCCTCTATGTAACCAATCTTCCTCTCCTTTGCCACTCCTTCCCCACATGGATGCCCCTCTTTCCTTAAAAAAAAAAAAAAAAAAGATTTATTTATTTATTTACTTATTTATTTATTTGAGAAAGAGAGAGAGTCTTAAGTAGACTCTGTGCTGAGCACAGAGCCTGACACGGGACTTGATCTCATGACCTTGACATCATGACCTGAGCTGAAACCAAGAGTCAGATGCTCAGTCAGCTGTGCCCCCCAGGCGCCCCCCCCGCATATGGATGCCCTTTTACCTGACTTGGTTTCTGACACTTCATGTCAGGCTGCTGCCCATCCCATCACGACACAGATGCTCTCACCATGTGAAAGCTTTCCTCACTCTGCTTAAGCTGATATCCCATACTAAGCACCTTTCCTGCATTTACTTTACCCTGTGCCAGGTCACTCATCTAAAAAGATGCCCTCCATTCCATGCTTGTGCTTAATATTCTATGACAGTTTGTCACTGTGTGTGGTTGCCCCCCTCACCCTTTCAGGCTTTGACTCCCCAGCACAAAATCACCCTCATGGACTCCATCACACTATGTCACCCTCACCCGCTCTAGCTCTGACATGCTTTTGTAGGCTGCCACCATTTGTGGTCACATTCTTCACCATGCTTGGGTTCTGATGCCAGGCTACCACCCCTTTACACTGTCACCCTCTGTAGGCTCTGACTCATGCCCCTCACCCTGTTCTTGTTTTAACACCGTGCTCCATGGAGGCCCTTCTTATCTACTTGGAATCTGACACTCCACATAGGTCAATCCTACATGACAACCTCCTCAACTTTTCTGGTTTTGACATTGTTTTGGGCTACTGCAGCTCCTTCTCCCTACCCTCACCTCTAGTGTGGATGCCTACTTTCTCTGTTCCACCAACATCTTTATGGCTGAACTGTTCAGGAAGGGAAGAAGAGCTAAAAATCATATTCTTAATTTTACAATTAATACATGAATATATTGCATTCCCTAACAAAATCATCAAACAGTTCTTAAACTAACATCTTCCTTCCATGCCTATAATCCCTAATCCCATTGCTTTTCTAGACGCAAACACTATTACCAGTTGGGTATATATCTTTTCAGACTTTTCCTTTGTGTGTTTATATATATAGATACATATATAGGCACATACATACACATATATATCTTTGTGTGTCTGTATATATATAGACATATAGTTTTCATTTGTTTTTGAAGTAAATGCTATTTTATACATGTTGTTTTTCAGTTCTTTCTTAAGAAGAACTTAATAGGGGTGCCTGGGTGGCTCAGTCGTTAAGCATCTGCCTTCGGCTCAGGTCATGATCCCAGGGTCCTGGGATGGAGCCCTGCATCAGGCTCCCTGCTCCGCAGGGAACCTGCTTCTCCCTCTCCCACTCCCCCTGCTTGTGTTCCCTCTCTCATTGTCTCTTTCTTTGTCAAAAAATAAGTAAAAATCTTTAATAAAAAAAAAAGAACTTAATATCTCTTGGAGTCACAGCTTAGCACATCTAGATGGAGCTATTTCTGTTTATTCATATGCTGTATAATATTTCATCGAATGAATTTACCATGGTTCATTTCCAATATTTTGTTATTATTAACACTGCTGCAGTGAACAGCCTGACCATGCCTTCTTAAGCCCAATGTGTGACTGTTTCTCACATATATAGTGACATTTCAGGGTCAAGCATTTTAATTTTAATAATGATAACAACAACTTAACATTTGCTGAACATACTTGTTCTAACTGTTTTAAGTTCTTTATAGATATTTTCTCATTTAATTCTCACAAAAATTTGTTACTATAATTATTCTCGTTTTTCTCAGATGAGGAAACTAAGGAAAAGAAAAGTGACCCAAAGTTGTAGAACTAAGTGGTAGATTGTATACAAGAGTGGATAGAATTGATAAGTGATTTAGTTTAAGAAGTGTGGACTAGATAGACTAGGAGATTTTACTTATCTATATATCTGAACAAAAGGTTGTAAGATTATTATAATACAAGAAAGCAAAACAGTTTGGTCTAAGAAAAGGAAATGGAAGATAGTAATTAGTCATCATTAGGCCACATGTTATATATATAATTCCATTTGGAAAATCTCTTCGATATATCCTTGTTATGAAAAGTTTTGCTTTAAAAAAAGAAGAAGAAGATAGCAGGAGGGGAAGAATGAAGGGGAGTAAATCGGAGGGGGAGATGAACCATGAGAGATGATGGACTCTGAAAAACAAACAGAGGGTTCTAGAGGGGAGGGGGTGGGGGGATGGGTTAGCCTGGTGATGGGTATTAAAGAGGGCACGTACTGAATGGAGCACTGGGTGTTATGCACAAACAATGAATCATGGAACACTACATCAAAAACTAATGATGTAATGTATGGTGATTAACATAACAAAAAATTTTTTAAAAGTTTTGCTTTATGGAGAGTATTACATAGCAACATTTCAATTTATTAATTGGAAAATAGCAGTTTAAAATATTTCTATGAAAAGCGTAAACACCCAAAATATTATTTGTTTGACATTTTATTTAGCAAATCAAACATATAACTGAGCTTTCTCATCCCTAAAAATAACTACTCAATCATGAAAAGTCACTAACTATGGGGTCGGAAGAGATGATACACTGAGAGACTGTATTTAGTGCTGTCACTTGTCAGATTTTCTCATAAAAGCCTATTTTAAAACGTGACTTTGCAAAATCAGTTAAATGCAGAGGAAGAGATAGGGCTAAAAGCAAACATAGAATTATAGATTGAAACATGCTATTTTTTTTCTATAGCATTCAAAGCAAAGTTAAATTTTAACATGGGTGTTTTATATCTATAATTAGTAGAAATTAAGCATTTCTGGATTTTTTTAGATGACTATGAAAGATGATATGATTTGAAATTAAGATCCTTAAAATAAATTGATCTCTGAAATCCACTTGAATTTTTTAAAGATTTATTCATTTATTTATTTTTAGAGCAAGAGTGCGTGCACGAGTAGGGGGAGAGTCAGAAAGAATCTTCAAGCAGACTCCCTGCTGAGCACGGAGCCCCAAGCGGGCTCCATCTCATGACCCATGAGATCATGACCTGAGCCCAAACCAAGAGTCGGTCATTTAACTGACTGAGCCACTTGGGTGCCCCACTTATATTTTTCTTATTCTTTATGTATACTTGACTCAAATGGTCACCAAATCAAGTCTCTTTGGAAAGTTCAGGATAAATAAAATTTTAATTTTTTTCGTACATTTTTAAGATTATTGTAATAAATTATATGCACATAAATATTTACCTATTCAAGCTTCTTTTCTGAGTAAATATTGATAAAATTGTATTTGCTGTAAGATAAAGTTTTTAAAGATTTTATTTATTTATTTTATTTGAGAGAGAGAGAGCATTTGAGTGTATGTTGGGGGGGGTGGAGGGAGGAGAGAATCTAAGCAGGCTCCACAATGTGGGGTTCTATCTCACGACCCTGAGATCAGACTTAAGATGCTGAGCCACCCAGGTGCCCCTGTAAGATAGTTTTTTTTTTTCCAGGTTCATAATTTATTGTACAAATTGAGTATCACATGATGAGTTGACATTAGCTTCTCCAGGCATGGGAATTTAACAGATGAGGTACAGGTTAAAAATCGTTTATGTTGCTTTCACAGCTGGTGTTTTTTTAGACCTTAACTTGAAGTATAAGATCATCAAAGCAATGCCTCCATATGTGGCGAGTACACAATTCATTCTACTTGTGAGAGTATAAGAGTTGAAATATTTTTTGATACCAGTGAAATGGAATTGAGCATCAGTTTCTGGACCTGCCATGATTTCAATCTTGCAGAAGGCACCAATTCCTGTAAGATAGTTTTTAAAGACACCTTGTTCATGCACCAATTACCTGTTTTTCTTTTATTGTAGCAAAGAGCAAAACAAAAATAATATATGAAGTAGGGAATGGTGTCCTACTAGTTTGCTTTAACCATAGCAAGTGCCAACAGATCTTGACAGATACTCTCCCCCACCCCCACTTTTTTTTTAATGACACTAAAATTATTTTACCATTTTTCTTTGCAGTTTTTCTTTACATCTTTTGGTGCCAGAGATAGAAGTTACCTCAGTATCTTTAGGTTGTGGCAGAATGTACTATTAGAAAAGGTAAGTGTTCATACCAGAGGCAGGTGCTTCTTATAATATCAACCTCCCAGTGTTTGTGAGTTGAATTTTTCTGGAGTTTTATTTTTCTGGAGTTAATTTTGACTAGATTATTTAAATTCTAAGATGAAACTTGAAGCAAAACAGAATCCATAGTTGTGTTAAGATGTTAATTTTACAGTAAGTCTCGACCCCTTTATCTGCAGGGAATATGGTCCAAGACCCAGAGTGGATACCTGAAACTGCAAATAGTACTGAATTCAATATAGATGCTATGTTTTTTCCTATACCTCCATACCTATGATAAAATTTAATTTATAAATGAGGCACAGTAAAAGATTAATAAAAATAACTAATAATAAAATAGAATAATTATAATATACTATAATAAAACATGTTAACGTGGTATCTCTCTCTCTCAAAATGTCTTATTGTACTATACTCATCTTCTTCTTGTGATGATATGAGATGGTAAAATGACTGCATGATGAAATGAAGTGAGGTGAATGACAGGCATTGTGACATATTGTTAGGCTACTTACTGACATTCTGATGGTATGTCAGAAGGAGGACAGTCTGCTTCCTGACTGTAGTTGACTGTGGGAACTGAAACTGGGGAAAGTGAACCTATGGATAAGGTGGGACTACTGCAATTCCCAGGGTAACCACCAAGAAAATAACTTTAAAAATATTGTAAAAGAAACATGAAGGGAGTTAAAATGGTACACTAGAACTATCTATTTAACATATAAGAAGGCAGTAATGGAAGATGTAGATACATAGAAAACAAATAGCAAAATGGCAGACATTACATTAAATCATTAAGCATAAATAGATTAAGCACTTCAATCAGAAGGCAGAGGTAGGCAGAAAGAATGAAAAAAAACAAAAACATATGATCCAACTATATGCTGTCTATATGAAATACGTTAGATTTATTTATTTATTATTTATTTTTTAAGATTTTATTTATTTGCAAGAGAGTACAGCAGGGGGAGTGGCAGGCAGAGGGAGAGGGAGAAGCAGGCTTCCCGCTGAGCAGGGAGCCTGATGCGGGGCTCGATCCCAGGACCCTGGAATCATGACCTGAGCCGAAGGCAGACGCTTAACCGACTGAGCCACCCAGGCGTCCCGAAACACGTTAGTTTTAAAGATACAAACAGATGGAAAAAAATATACCATACAAATAGTAACCAAAAGAGCTGAAGTGACTGCAGTTGTATCAGGCAAAATAGACTTTAAGACAAAGATTAATAGAGACAAGGAATGATATTTTATAATAATAAGAGTCAATCCATCTGGAATTCATAACAATTATAAACATATATGTACCCAATAACAGAGCCCTAAATTACATGAAACAAAACTAGCAGAACTGAAAGGGGAAATAGATAATTCAACAATAATAGTTGGAGATTTCAATACCCCACTTTCAATGATGGATGGAACAACCACAGAGATCAACAAGGAGATAGAAGGTTTGAACAAAACAATAAACTAGAACTAAAAGACATCTATGGGACACTCAAAGCAGAATATACATCTTTCTCAAGTACACATGGAACAATCTCCAGACAGACCATATGCTAAGGTCATAAAAGAAACCTTAATAAATTCAAGAGGATTGAAATAATACAAGGGACTACAGTGAATGACATTAGAAATCAGTAACAGAAATTTGGGAAATTCATAAAAAGTGGATATTAAACAAAACATTCCTAAATAACCAATGAGTGAAAGAAGAAATCACAAGAGAAGTTAGAACATACTTCAAGTTAAATGAAAACAAAAACACAACATACCAAAACTCATGAGGTGCAGTTAAAGCAATGCTTAGAGGGGATTTTATAACTATAAATACCAATATTAAGAAAAGGAATGATCTCAAATCAATAACCTAACTTTCCACCTTAAGAAATTAGGGCAAGGGAAACAAACTAAACTTAAAGCAAATAGAAACAAGGATATGCTAAAGGTTGGAAGAGAATGAATGAAATAGAGAATAGAAAGACAAGCAACAGAACAAAAAGTTCTTTCTTTGAAAAGATCAATAAAGTTTAACTAGACTGACCAGGAAAAAAAGCTTAAAATTATTAAATTCAGAAGTGAAACTGACAACATTACTACTGACCTTACAAAATGAAAAGGGTTCATACTATGGACATCGTATGCCAACAAATTAGTTAACCTAAGTGAAATGGACAATTGTGACTGAAAAGTCATAAACCATTGCACTGACTCAAGTAGGAATAAAAAATCTGAATAAACCTATAACAAGAAAAGAGATTGAATTAGCAATAAAAAATCTATCCACAAAGAAAAACTCAGGCCCAGATGGCTTCATTGGTGAATTCTGCCAGGTGTTTACCATAGAATTAACGTCAATCCTTCACAAAATATTTCAAACAATAGAAGAGGAGAGAACACTTTGCAACTCAGTCTATGAGGCCAGTATTACTTTGATAACCAAGTCCAGACAAAGAATATCACAAGAAACCTACAGGACAATATTTATGTTCACTGTGTCTATGAATATAGACATAAAAATCCTCAACAAAACCAAACCAATTTAGCAAAACAAATCCAGCAACATATAAAAACAATTGTATGCCATGACTAGGTAGGATTTATACAAGGTTGATTGAACATATGAAAATCAGTCAATGTAATACACTATATTAGTAGAATAAAGGACAAAAACCACACGATCATCTCAGTCTATACAGAAAAAATGTGACAATATCCAACATCCTTTCATGATAAAAACAAAAAAACAAAGTGGAACTAGCAGGGAATTTCTTTGACTTGATAAATCTCACAGCTAACATAATGGCAAGAGACTAATGCTTCCCCACCTTAGGTCGGGAACAAGACAAGGATGTCCTTTCTTGCTATTTCTATTCAATATTGTACTGAAGGTTCTAGCTGGGGAAAATAGGCAAGAAAAAGAAGTAAAAGACATGCAGATTAACAATGAAGAAATATAACTATCTCCACTGGTAGGTGATATGGTTTTATATATGTAAAATTCTAAGAAAGTCAGTAGAAACCCATTAGAAATAATAAGTTCAGCAAGTTGCAGAATATATGATCAAAATGCAAAAATCATATTTTATATGCTCAAAATGAACAATCCAAAAATTAAATAGTTCACTTATAATAACATCAAAAATAATAAAATACTTGGGAATAAATTTAACAAAGGAACTTTAAGATGAACACTGAAAGCTACTAAATATTGTTAAAAGAAATTAAAGAAGACAAGTGAAAAAAAATCTCATGCTCATGGATCAGAAGACTTGATATTGTTAAGATGGCAATACTCTCCAGATTGATCTGCAGATCCCTATCAAAATCCCAACTGGAATTTTTTTTTTTAAGAAATTGAAAAGCAGATCCTAAAATTCATATGGAAATGCAAGGTACCCAGAATAGTCAAAACAATCTTGAAAAAGAAGAACAAAACTGGATTTATAGGGCTGCCATAACAAAATACTAGAGACTGGGTGGCTTAAACAACATAAATTTATTTTCTCATGCTTCTGGAGGCTGGAAGTCCCAGATCATGGAATAGGCAGGGTGAATATCTGGTGAGACGCCTCTTGTTGGCTTGCAGCCTTCTCACTGTGTCCTCACATGGCTTTCCCTCTGTTCATGCACACTCTTGGTATCTCTTCTTCTTATATGAATACCAGTCCTATTAGGGTAGGGCTCCACCCTCACAACTCTGTCTTAGCTCAGGCTGCAATAACAAAATGCTGAAGACTGGGAGGCTTAAACTACAGAAATTTATTTCCTCATAGTTCTAGAGGCTGAAAGTTTGAGATTGGGATGGCAGCTTTGGTTGGGTTCTGGTGAAAACACTTCCTGGCCTTCTCATTGTGTTCTGACACAGCCGGGAAGGAAAGAGAGAGCCAGAGCAAGCAAACTCTGGTGTCTTCTTATAAGGGCATTAATCCCTTCATGAGAGTCCCACCTGCATTTACCTCATCTAAAGCTAATTATCTCCCAAAGAACCCATCTCCAAATACCATCACATTGAGAGTTAGGGTTTCTTTCTTTCTTTCTTTCTTTTTTTTGGAGTTTCAACATAAGAATTTTGAGGGGACACAATTCAGTCCATAGCAACCTCATTAACCTTAAGTTTCCTATATCCAATTATAGTGACTTTGGGGGTTTAGGGCTTCACCTATCAATTTTAGGGGGATGCAATTCATTCCATAACATTGGAGGACTTGCACTTTTTTTTTTTTTAAGACTTTATTTATCTGACAGAGAGAGACACAGCGAGAGAGGAAACACAAGCAGGGGGAATGGGGGAGGGAGAAGCAGGCTCTCCACGGAGCAGGGAGCCCGACGTGGGACTCAATCCCAGGACTCTGGGATCATGACCTGAGCCAAAAGCAGATGCTTAACCGACTGAGCCACCCAGGCGCCCCAGCACTTTTTGTTTTGATGTTTACTACAAAGCTGCAATAATCAAGGCAGTAGGTTTACTGGTGTAAGTCTAGGCATATACATTAATGGAATAGAATTGAGAGTCCAGAAATAAAACCTTACACTTATCAGCCCTAATTTGATTTTTGACAAGAGTGCCAAAACAGTTCCACAGGCAAAGAAGTCTTTTCACCAAATGGTACTGGAATAACTAGATAACACATACAAAAGAATGAATTTTGATTCCTACTTCAGACTAT